TTCTCCCTGTCTCCACTTCAAAGACTTCAGATTGGGTGCCACTCACCACCCTGTCACACTGCAAGTCACTGAAATCGATGGCAGCGATCAGTCACTACATGGAGATGACCATCGAGCCTATACAGCAGGTGAGTGGCCAGCCTGGGCCATGGCTAAGTGTCCATAAGGGTGGGAATTAGTCCTGGAAGGCTTCCTGGAGGAAGTGATACTTTAGCTGATAGGAACCATGTGAAAAAGGATCTCTCCAAGGCTGCAGGTGGGACAGCTGGAGGGGAGCAAAGTGGAGGAAAAAGGCTTTTCTCTACCCTCTTAGGTATAATGGCTGAGGATTATGAATCAAACCAACAAAAGACAGAAATGAGTAAGAGGGAGCACACTTTAATTACTTGTATGCGGAAGTTCACGAAAAAAAAATTATGGCAGGAAAAGGGGTTTGGGGCTTCTGGCGTTGGGGAGCAAGTTAGGAAAGACGAAGGAGGAAGTGTATGGTGATTAAGGGTTGTCTTGTTAATGCAACAAGTCTCTAGTGGTGGAAGTTGTCTCTGGAAGTGGCTCTTGTCCCAGGGAACAAATGTAAGTTTCCTTTGTAAAAATAAATTTCCTTTACAAGGAACATTTATATCCATGGGTTCTACATCCTTGATCAATTCACTGTGGATCAAAGATTTTTGAAAAAAAAAATGTATTTCCGTACTGAAAATGTAGTCTTTTTTAGTTGTCATTGTCTCCTAGAGAACATACTATAGTAACCATTTCCATGGCATTTACATTAAATTAGATATTAGGCGTATCTAAGAGGTGATGTAGAGCATATGGAGGAGGTGCACCGGTTATATGCAAATACCACGCCATTTAGCCAAAGGAGTTGAGCATCTGAGGGGTCCTGAACCACTTCCCCATCGACACCAAGGGACAACTCTTTTTTACTTGTAGGCAGTTAGGTGCATATCTTCTCCACTTGTGCTGGTTTTCATTTGTGTTTAACTCAAAGTAATCCATATGCCAACAAGGCATATTTGAGATGCCCTACTCTATTATCCTCCCAGAATAAGGGAGATAAAAAGGTACAGATCCCCACCCAAGGAGGCTAACGATCACCCTGAGGGTGGTGGGAGCCCCACCTGGGAGGCTTCAGTGCTGGACTCAGGTCAGTTGTGCATTTCAGAGCCTCACTGGGCCTTGTTTGGTGAGCAGGAGAGAGTACCTCAGCCTCCTAAAGCAGGGCTGTCAGCCAGGGCAGTGTTAAGTCCTGGGAAGAGGTGGTTTGACTTGCACCAAGGCTGCAGCAGGAGAAGCAGAGGTGGAATCAAGAGCTAGGAAGCGGAGTGTGTAAGGGGCCAAGGATATGGGGTCAAGGGGAAGGAGGGCTCTGGGTGACTCTCAGGGTCCTGGCCACACTCCAGGTCCTCAGGTGGAAGAGGGTTGAGGAAGAGGGGAGAAGTTCACCCCATCGTCCTACTATTCCAATCAGACTGTTCTTTTCAAGGTCACTAGTGACCTTCCTGTTGCTAAATCCAGTCATTTCTCTTGTGATTTCTGTGGTCCCCGTGTTCCTGGCCTTCCCACCATGCTCATAAGCTAATCCTTCCCCATGGCTTCTGCTGGCTCCTCCCATCACGCTTGGCTTTAGAGTGGGGGGCCCCCTTCTGTGGGTGTGCTCTTGAGGACCACAGTCCCAGCTCTTGCTGGCTTCCCGGGTTTGCATCTATGTCCTTTTCTTCTCCACTCAGTTCCAGTCCCAGCTGCCCAGATGCCTGTTTGGTGGCACCACACAGCATCTCACACGTTTGCCTCCAACACAGAATTCTGGATTTCCTGCCTCTCCTGGCTTTAATCCCATTTTCCTCATCATGGTAAATGACACCCTTGTCCATGCAGTGGCTCAAGCCAGAAGTTCCTTCCTTGGCCTTGCTACACCCCCATGTCCACAGTCTATTTATGGCTCCTGTAAATGCTTCCTTTAAAATAAATCTTGAGGGCTCAGGGTATAGCTCTGAGGCAGAGTGCTTGCCTAGCAGGTGCAAGGCCCTGAGTCCCATCCCCAGCACAAACAAAATAAAATGAGATGAAATGAAATAATAAAATAGGCCGGCAGCTTCCTAGCTAGTCTGCATCACTACTCCACCTGCACCAGCAGCTAGAGGATCTTATACAAACCTATTACTGTCTTGTCCTTGATTAAAACACTCCTCTGGCTTTCCTTTTCATGCAGAATAGAATCTAAACTCCTTTTTTTTTTTTTTTTGGTACCAGGGATTGAACCCCCAGGGGCACTTAACCACTGAGCCACATCCCCAGTCCTTTTTTATATTTTATTTAAAGACAGGGTGTCACTGAGTTGCTTAGAGCCTTGCTAAGAGGCTGGCTTTGAACTTGCAATCCTCCTGCCTCAGCCTCCTGAGCCTCTGGGATTATAGGCGTGCTCCACTGTGCCAGACAAAAATCTAAACTCCTTTCAGAAACTCCCAGGCTCCCCAGGCCCAGGCCACACCCTCTTTGCTCCCCCTGTTCTCTCCCTGCTTCACTCCTCTCCAGCAGTGGTGCATGGGGTGCCCCACCACGGAGCACACACCAGCCCACCATGGCTGCTGCTTGCTGATCTTTGTCACCTTCCCCACAGGCCTTCCCCAACCCCCAGACAGAAGTAGCCTCCACTGCTCTGTCCTGTCACTTTGCTATCTCTGGAAATTCTCTGCAATGCTCTTCCCCCTGCCTCTTACCTTTGTGAGCTGGCCATCTCCTGCTGGGATGCGAACCTTGTCTCCTGTCTTGATGGCTCCCAGTGCCTGTAACCTGGGAGTCATGGCCCCTGGGTAAAGGGATGTTTTGAGCGCATGCTCAGCAATGTGGTCCCTGCCCAGCTGCCCAGAGGACACTGGTGCTGGGAGTGAGTTTGGCCTGACCGATAAGCTTTACTCCTGGCTATTGTTGTTCCTCAGATGTTGGATGCAGCCACCCCTGTGTGATAAGCGAAGGTCAGAGTTAGAGCATGCTATCACAATTAAAGAATCCACTTCAGCCACAAAACCATCCTTCTGACCATAAGGAGGAGGGTGGGTGGGTTGTGGGAAGTCCTCAGGAGGACACAGGGAATTCTGGTGGCATTTGGCCAAAGCTTTGCACTAGACGATTTTAAATTATGGAACTAACTTCTGAAAAAGAAGCTGTGTGCGAGGCTGGCACGTACCGTGTGGTAGAGAACATGCCTGGCACATACAAGGCCCTGGGTTCCATCCCCAGCACCGCAGGAAAGAAGGGGCAAAAGGTATGTTCACTGTAACTGATTCTGTAAGTCAGGGTTGCCTGGGTCCCTGCTGGGGACGCACGTTTCTCTTTCATGGGGAGCAACTGAAGCCTCCAGCTGGTTTGAGCTTCTGCCGGCTCTTCCGTCTGTGTCCACCAGAGGGCGAGACCAGGAGGGGAGCCCAGAGCCCCACAGTCCATCCAGCCTCGGCAGAAAGCCCTTCCTAAGGCTCCTGGGCAGGCACGGCAGCTGCTTACTGAGTGAGGGCTACTTGCCAGGCTCTGAGCAAACAGTAACCATGAACACTACCTGGTGTGCTTATGGGATAGAGTGCTGATCTAAGTCCTTTACAAAGATTGACATTTTTACCCTCATTGTCAACCCTTGAGATATTATTCTCATTTTACACACAAGGAAACTGGGGTACAGAAAGAGTATACAATTTGCTTAGGTCACACAGCTTAATGGTAGTAGATCCAGTATTGAGACCTGCTTCTACCTGAGCTTGTGCCCTGCTCCACTATGCTGCCCATCCTCTAAGTGAGCACCATGGCTGACTCCAAGTAAGTGCGTTATAAACAGTTGTTAATATTAATACAAATTATCACAACAGCCCCTGAAGTAGATACTATTATTAATCTATTTTTTTAATCTTAAATAATAATAATTATGTTGAGTCACAGAGCCAAGCATGGTGGTGCACACCTGTACTCCCATCTATACAGAGGCTGAGGCAGAAGGATCATTTGAGCTGGGAGTTCAATGCCAACCTGGGTAACATAGCTAGACCGGGTCTCCAAAAAACAAATTCAGGTGCAGTGGCGAAAGTCTATAATCCCAGCAACTCAGGAGACTGAGGCAAGACAATCATGGCAAGTTCAAGGCCAGCCTCAGCAACTTATTAGGATCCTGTCTCAAAATAAAGCATCTAAAGGGCTGGGGATATAGCTCAGAGAGAAAGCACCCCTGGGTTCTATCCCAACACAAAACCAAAACAACAATAATAACAAAAAACTTGAGGCACAAAGAACTTAAGTAACTTACCTAAGATTCCACAGTTAGGAAATCACAGAAACAGGTTTCAGACTAAGCCTATCTGAGTTGGGGGCCTGAGCTTTTATAAAGAGAACACACTTCCTCTGCTGCCATATTGTACCTGCTCAGTGATTTTTTGGTTTTACCTTTTTTCAATGAAATGACCCCAGTGGGCTAGGGTGTGGTGAGACAGGTGCCCAGTTGGTCATATGCACTGACACGGATCCTGTTTGGACAGTCATCTAGAAATGGGTAATAAGGGCCACAGGGATGCTCCTCGCTTTCCCAGCATCCCTTGCTAACAAAGAGCCAATCCTAAGGGGAGACTTTGAGGAGGTACCAGGGGTGCCACTCATCCTTCAGGCCAGGCTTAGAGAGGGGCATAGAGCTTCATAGATCAACTGCCTCATTCTTGCTTGGAGCATTTGAAAACCCCGCCTCTTTGTTGACTCGGATGTGGCACGCCCTAGCAGATTATAAGATTTATCCGTGTTGCCAGGGAGCCACCTGCTTCCCCACCTCCGCCCACAGGTTCCTGTTTCAGCACCTTTGCGGGAGAGGAGAGCCGCAGGGCTGGCACCTCACCCAGGTTCTTGGGCTGAACACTGAGTGTATTTCTTTGTTTATTTTCTCTGCCTGTTCCAATGACTCACATGACACTGTGCATTTAGCCCATTGATAGGGCCAAGCCCTGCTTGATTTGGGGACAAACACTCCCAGGCATTCTTTTCCTATGTCCAGAGCATTTACACAGGGCCCCGTGACACTCCTTCAACAGAGGCCAGGCAGGAATTACCTCCCGCTTTGAGAGATCAGGAACCCGAGACTCAGGGCTGATTTCCTTCTGAGGCCCAGAAAGCAGGTGAGCTGCTTCTGTGTCATGGCCTGGAATGTCTGGACCCCCATGTGACTCTGAACTCTGAGGAAGCCCCCTGTGAGCCCTGCCAGAGAATAAATAGATATCTTTCAGGTTACCTCTTCCCTTACCTCCCAACTTTCCCAAATGCTCTCTCGTATGCTGCCACAGCATGAGTAGGTAAGGTAAAGCCTAGATGGAGAGCATTTTTGGCAAGAGCTGACTAAGTCACACATGCACACACCCTTCAATCCACTAGTTTTCCCTCTAGGAATTTATCTTCTGAATACCCTGAAATCTTGGATGTCTGGTGGAATTTGTTGCAGTCAGCACTGATTGTAAATGCAAGGGATAAGTGGTACCCTAAACCTTCACCACTAGGGGACTGATGAACAGATATGAACACCTACAATGGTACCCCCACGCTCCAAGTCTTCTAAGATAGAAGTATCTCAAGGCATATTGTTAAGTAAAAAAAAAAAAATTAAGTGTGTAAGAGAATATGAATTGTGCTAGAATTTGTGCAGATGGGAAATGTGTGTGTTTGTGTGTGTGAGAGTGTGTAAGATCTGGAAGGACGCAGGAGCTTGGGCACTGGCTACCTCGGGGTGGTCAAGGGATGATGGTGCCAGGTGACCACTGCATACCCTTTGGACCTTTTAAAACTGAAGTGTGCGGATGCTTGAACAATTCAAAAATGAACTAAAATAAGTGTCCCCACTTGCCTTTTCCCACTCACCTTGCAGGCAAGCTGTGGTGCCATGAGACTACCTGGTGATGGACAGACCAGCACAGGAGACGCGTCACTGCAAGAGCCCCCCTCGTACCCTCCTGTTCAGGTCATCCGGGCCCGAGTGTCTTCCAGCAGCTCCTCTGAGGTGTCCTCCATCAACTCAGACCTGGAGGTACAGGGTCTGCCTGCGGGCAGGTGCAGGGATATGTCGCTCACCCACACTCACCCTGCCTCCTCGGGCTTGCTGTGCTCTTCTCTGATCTTGCCAGTGAACCTCACCCTGCTGTTAAGGAATGCGCCTCTGCACAGCTGCCAGTCTGCCTGCAGCCAGTCTGCCTGAGGAGCTTCCCAAACCAGCTCGGGACTGAGAAGAAGGCCCCATGGTCAATCTGGTCGGGGGAACACTGCGTTTTGGAGTCCAGTCATCAGGGATCGCTTGCACATTTGAGTCCTACAGAAGAAAATGCACAAATAATAAACTAGTTTTTAAAATCTCAAAAAGTCTTAAAAGCTAGGGGCGTGGCTTGGTGGTAGCGCACTTGCCTAGCGTACACCAGATGCACCAGGCCCTGTTCCATCCATTGCAAAAAAGAAAGAAAAGAAGAAAGCCTTTGTGCTTCCCCAGCCCATTTGACCATGGAAGCTTTTCTTTGTCCCAGGGAATGTCATCTCCTCCTGCCGTGCCAGCACACAGGCTACACACTTTATTTATTACCTTTGCTTTATTTTGTATCTGTGAGCAAAACTCATATCCCATCTTGGATGCACAAGTCTCATGCCTGAGTTGTCCCATAGCTGTGGTTTCTGTCCCATTCAACGAGGAAGTTTCCATTTGTCTGAGGAAAAAAAGAGAATGAGGACGATGTGGTGGCCATGGGCATGTTGGCAGAAGGGGGCCAGCTGTCTCTTTTTGGTGAGGGAAGGACCGTCTTTCTTTCTGATTTTGTGTTCTTCCATCTTTTGTGGTGTTAAGTGCCCTTTTTGAAATGATGGTAATAATAGGTGGTAGTTAGGGCTGAGTTTTTGGTTCGGGTTTGGTTCCTACCCTACCTCACCCCATCCCCCAGTACTGGGGACCAAACCCAGGGGTGCTCTGCCACTGAGTTGCATCCCCAGCCCTTTCTATTTTGGGACAGGGTCTTCCTAAATTGCTGAGAGTGGCATTAAACTTGCTTTCCTCTTGCCTCCAGAGTTCTGGAGATTACAGATGAGTGGTGCTACACCTGCTTGGTTTAGTTTTTAATGGCCTCATTTGGCAAAACAATCATTATCTGTCCTGAGTTCCCAGATTTATCAAACTTATACTAGACCCTGAAATCCAAAACTCAGAGCCACTGACTTGGGATGAAGTCCAGGTTCCTTAGTGTGATGTTCTAGCCCTTCTCTGTTTGCCCAGCCTCCTGTTCTTCCCTGCCCTCACCCAGCTCTCTGACCTGACCATGGATGACTCTTTCTTTGTCCCCAGACCTTTGGGCCTCATCTTTCTAGCCCCATTTCCTCAGTTCATAATCCTATCCAGATGCCACCTCCTGGGAGAAACCACCCCAACTGTGGCCTCTTCCCCTGAGTGCCCAGAACACACAGTCCCTTACACACCTGCACTTTGGCAGTGTGCATGGTCTGGTGAGCTGTGGAGTGACTGTCATCTTTCTCTATCCCTCAATTCTGGAATACAGTGGGCATGAAGAGCTGGGTTGGAGTTAGGACTTCTACACCCTTTGGGTCATATTTCTGTGTCAGTTCATGTCATATATTTTTTGTTTATTTATTCTAATTTGTTATATATGACAGTAGGATGCATTACAATTCATATTACACATAGAGCACAATTTTTCATGTCTCTGGTCGTACACAAAGTAGAGTCACACTATTCATGTCTTCATACATGTACTTAGGGTAACGATGTCCTTCTCATTCCACCATCTTTCCTACCCCCCTCCCCCTGCCTTCCCCTCCCTCTCCTTTGCCCTATCTAAAGTTTTCCTTCCAGGTTCCACAATGCACCCCATCCCCATTATGGATCAGCATCCTCATATCAGAGAAAACATTCAGCATTTGGTTTGGGGGGGTTAGCTTACTTCACCTAGCATAATATTCTCCAACTCCATCCATTTACCTGCAAATGCCATGATTTTATTCTCTTTTAATATTGAGTAATGTTCCATTGTGTATATATGCCACAGTTTCTTTATACATTCATCTACTGAAGGCATCTAGGTTGGTTCCACAGTTTAGCTATTGTGAAATGTGCTGCTATAAACAATGATGTGGCTATATCACTGTAGTATGCTGTTTTTAAGTCCTTTGGGTATAAATAAACCAAGGAGTGGGATAGCTGGGTCCAGTGGTGGTTGGTTCTATTTGAAGTTTACCAAGGAATCTCCATACTGTTCTCCCTATTGGTTGCACCCTTTTGCAGTCCTTTTCCTCCTCATTCTCTCCAACAACTTATTGTTGTTTGTCTTTATAATAGCTGCCATTCTGACTGGAGTGAGATGAAATCTTAGAGTAGTTTTGATTTTCATTTCTCTAATTGCTAGAGATGTTGAACATTTTTTCATATATTTTTTGATTGATTGTATATCATCTCTGAGCAGTGTCTGTTCAGGTCCTTGGCCCATTTATTGACTGGATTATTTGTTGTTGTTGTTGTTTTTTTGGTGTTAAGATTTTTGAGTTCATTATATATCCTAGAGAGTAGTGCTCTATCTGATGTGCATGTAGTAAAAATTTGTTCCCAAATTGTAGGTTCTCTATTCACCTCACAGATTGTTTCTTTTGCTAAGAAGCTTTTTAGTTCGAATCCATCCCATTTATTGATTCTTGATTTCTTGTGCTAGAGGAGCCTTATTAAAGGAAGTCAGGGCCTAATCTGACATGATGAGGATTTGGGCCTACTTTTTCTTCTATTAGGTGCAGGGTCTCTGGTTTAATTCCTAGGTCCTTGATCCACTTTGAGTCCATGTCATGTATTTATTGGATCCAGTCTCAGAACATGTGGGACACCCAGGGTCCACAGGGGTGTCTGCCAAGGCCTAAGGCTAAGGGAGAAGGAATAAACTGGACACTGAATTCAGTGAGGAGAAGGGACAGGAAGGCTGGTGAGGGCAGGCTCGGGGGAGAGGTGGGCAGCATTTGCTCTGTGGAAACAAGCGTGTCTTGCTGCCCACCCTCAGCTGAGGCGAGAACTGAATAGGGAAACTGAAAATTCAGACATCTGTCCTTGTGGCTGGTTTGGGCCATTTCTCTGTTTTGCAATCCGTATTGTTCTATCCTATTTTCTCTCCATTTTTATAAATCTGTTGTTTAAAACATGTCAGTTCCAAGGATACAGGGTCACACTCTTAAATTAAGCAAGTGGAAATGATGCTTTTGTCCATGGTAAAAGGAACAGTCAGAAGCCCAGTCCCCCCAGCCTCTCCCCTGCAGTCTTTCTGCTTCACGCCCTAAAACATAAATACACAGTAGATAAGGCCACCAGGGTCCTATAAAGAGATAACCTCCCCTTAACCACACATACTAGCGGATCAAACGGAATTGTGTCGCTCCCAGTATTGATTGTTTAGTGTGAGAGCAGGAGGCTGTGGAGCCTTCTTCAGGTGGGTGATCCATCAGGGCTTCTGTTTTTAAAGTAACACCGCCCACCTGTTCAGGAGGCTGAGTCAAGAGGGTCACCTGAGCTCTTCAGTTTGAGCCTGAGCAATGGAGTGAGACCTGGTCTCTAAATAAAGAAATAAACGTAGTACATGTTTTTGGTATAAAATTTGGAAAACAAAAAAAAAAAGTAAAGAAGAAAATTAAGCCCACTCAACCAATGTGGGATTGGGCATGCTTGATATGCCACCTGGGTTTTGGAAGTAGTATTTTTGGAGATCCTGGTTGGCTTGTGGGGAGGCAAGGCTCGGCAAATGGTTAACAAGTCCCCCTCAGCTGGCCATCTGGTGGCTCATTCAGCAGATGTGTTCTGAAGACCCAAATTGAAAGGGAGAATACCTGAGGACACATAGGCCCCAGCCTGCCCAGCCTGGTGGGTCTAGTACTTGGTAAACTGGCCACAATCCACAGTCTGATCCTCTGCCAGTGTCAGGGCTTAGGTATTACTTCCTGTGGTTTGTGACTTCTCTTGCAGAATTTACGTATTTCATGGCACTGGACTCAGGTAGCCTAGGGCATCTCTCCCCACTCTTGCCTGCCCATGCCCCTGCCCTCTGCCCTGGACTCCACTGAGGTTGGCTTCCGTGGTCTGCCTCTTACTGACCTCCTGGGTTACTCCCTGACCCTTTGGGTTGACAAGTGAATGCTTCCTGATTCCCACTGTCCAGGCCCAGGGGCCTGGGAGCTATTCTGGACTCAGAGTTGATGTGTCCATCTCCTAAGGTCCTTGATCATCTCATAACTGACCTCTGAGGCCAGGTTTTGATATTGTGTTCTTGGCCATGTGCCCACTGTCCTGAGCACCACATCCTGCGGTGCGCAGGGAGAATGGGGGACAGGCGGGTCTGAGCAGCACAGCGTCTCCACACACTCAGTTCACAAAGCGTCTCCAAATCCATTCATAAGGAAGTAAGGTGCTTGCCAAAGTGCTGGGCATGGGGTGGTATAGTGAAGACTCACCAGGACTTTGTTTAAGCAGCCCTGAAGCAGGAGACTAGGAGTAGAGGAGTTTAATTAGCCACACGAAAATGAAGAGAATAAGGAAAGAAAGGAGAAGAGAAGGCAGATCTGGGGTTTGAACCCAGTGTCATCCACTCTGAAACTTCCCTCGTTGCCCACTGCACTCCAGTGCCTTGAAGGGACTATTACCCGGGGGGCTTTTCAGGCCATGTCTGTTATCCATTATCCCATTGAATGTCCTAAGTAACAGAGGGTAAAACATTGGGATTTAAATAAATTCAGGGAGGAATGAGACAGGACCATGGAGGGACAGCTTGAATTGTTTTTGTCTTTCAAAGATCCCACGGGCTGGATCGGCCAGGGTACCAGATGAATGGTTTAAGAGCCCCAGTGAGACCAACAGCCATGTAGAGAGGCCATTTGCTTGGGCCCTGTAGTTTCCAGATACCTTCCAGGAGGTGCACCCTCCGCAGACCGTAGATCCACTCACTCAGCCATTACCCACTGTCCAGCACCAGGGCAGCCTCGGTCCTGGCATAGCCGTCCAAAGGGTGCACT